GCTGCACCCTTTGCACCCTGACAGGGTGTGCCAGGCTCATTTTTTCCCTGCTGCACACATGGCTTGAAGGGGTATATCCTGATACCTGTTGTGCAGAGGCAAACACCTGCCTCTGCTTGCAAAAGAGACATCCATGAAGAAAAAGAAAAAACGAAATATGGGAAGCTCTGATTTCAAAAGAAGACCAGATTTGAGGTTTGAAAGTTTCGGGCAGGGTGGAGGTGGGGGAGCAGCTCTGGTTCTTATCCTGTCCCACAGAGCATGGGAACAATGGTCAGAGAGAAAAAGCAGAAGATACCAGATAGCAAATTAAGGAATCCTGATTTGGTTTTTTTTCTCCTTAAAAATAACAGCCAATTCATTGCCATAGGATCTGAATGAAAACACATATTTCTTCTAGCTCCTACTGTGTTTTTGACATATTTAAGAGTCAAAGCTAGACAGATGAGGAGCCTGGGTATTGGGAAGCCCAGGGCTGGATTCAGGTCTGGAAGAAACTTTATCTGAAGGCAGATTGTCAAACAGCTGCTTCCTAGATTTACTGCTGTTGGCGTTCTTCTGCAAAGCCCTGATGGCAGTGTTTGAAGTTTGCTTGCGAAAACACACACGCACAAATGTGTATCTATGAAAGCACCACGTCTCCTTGCCCTGGGCTCATTTTTCATACCTTCATTGCAGGGCTGTTCCCAAAAGCATCAGTTAATTACCCTTCCTCCTTCCCAGGGGGCTGCCTTTGGACAAGGCTCATTGAAACAGAGCCAGGGTGAATTGAAGTCAATCTGCACACAGGGGAAAAGTCCCACTTCACTAATCCATGTGGCACAGCTCCAGCAGAGACATTCATCTCGGTTTCTTGTCTCTCTGGGGAAAAAATGAGTGACGGATTCTGGAAAGAGCCTGGACCACTGAGTTTTTAAAATCTACTTGCTTTTACTGTACCACTGTCAAGCTTGCTAGTTAAAGAGCAGGAGACAATTCACCAAACTTTTAAGATGGGCACAAAGCTCATTGTCTTGTAGAAGGTGATAAATGGGCATTCTTTTTATTTGCCCTCTGGGTTCTGAGGCTGAAAATGCAGGATTACCAGCTCTGTCCCCAGCACAGATCAGCTGGCATGAACAGAAAAGGGATCACTGCTGCAGAATGAATTGATGCTTAGGAAGAATTTTGGGCATATGCAGATGTGATTTATGCTTACTGTGGTCTCTGAATACTATGAGTTAGAGAGCAAAAGCCCTCTAACAATGAAATCCTTCCACAGGAACCCTGGCAGAACTCTCAACACACCCCATTGCAATGTCCAGTCCAGTGTGGGATGAGGGAAGGAAGGCTTTTTCAAATGCTAGTCTCTGTAACATGTTCCTTGCCTCATCTGTCTCTGGCTGAAGATCTGTCATGAAAGGACAGAAGTGGAGAAAGGTCTGAGCCACTGAATCAAAGAGGGACAGCAGAGACTGGAATAGGCAATAGAGAAATGGGTGTTGACAGAATCTTTCTCTGACTCAGGAAGCTCTGGCTGTGCCTGGGTTTGGACACCAGCTGCACTGGGCTGATATTGTTGTAGGTGTAACCAGGATGTGTTTGTGCTTTGTAAAAATCTCATAAAGAATCTCCAAGGAGAGTGCATGTAAAGATGTGGCCCTTAACATTTTTTAACAGTAATCCTAAATCCCTAGTGATTCTAAATGTTGAAGTGTGTTGGGAACTTGAATTTTGCTCACAAGGTAGTGATGGTCAGTGGTCAGTCTTGCTCTGAACAATCACATTATTAGAGATCCAAAGCCCTACAGTAGCTACTGTATTACCTGGAAGTGTCTCAGTTCTGCCCATAGCATGTTCATCTGCCATGTGGTAGCCATCAGTGGGATTTCTGCTAGTCAGACCTTGGTCAATGAGTGGCAGAGTGGAACAAAATACTGGTGCATTTAGCAAGTGTCAGATGTGGAGCTTCTCAGGAGAAAACTTTTCCAGGCTGCAGCTTATGTTTATTAATCAAACACTGTTGCCTGTGAGATAGCCTGTATTTTGAGTACAGAGAGCAGGGCTGAAATTAAATACTGCTCATTTGTTTTTCAGTACTGAGACCTTCCTTTTTCCTCCCTGCCTTTTCTTACCTGTTAACCTGTATTCCCAGCTATCACCCAGCCCCTCTTGGCCCCTGGCTGGATTGATGCAGACTGCAGTGAGGTTTCACTGCTCCCCTGAACTGGCCCGAGTCCAGCCTCTCTGCTTTCACTGGGCTCTTGGATGCTGAGGGTCAGGGCCTCAATGATACAGATGGGATGGGGCTGTAAATCTGTCACTGCCTAGAGGTGTGTGCACTGTGGTGGCAGCAGCCTTGATCTGACCCACCACGAGCAGGGAAAATGAGTGATGCCCAACTTAACTGCTCATCCTTTGTGTCCCTTTGAGGCCTTGAGCTGATGGGTTCCAAAGCTGGAGGGAGATGGTGACATTGTAAACAGTCACACTAACAGGTTGAGTGACCAGGTGAAGACAGACTTCTCCACCCCTCCCTTCCTTTAAGAAAATCACCAGAGTGTGCAGCTGTTGAGCAGAAGAATTTTGATTTTTGCTTTATTCCTCTGCAGTACTTCAAGCATGATGACCCACATGGACAGATGGATAGATACTAGCATGATCCCAGCAATTCTGGCATGCTGACACCTGCCAGATGGGAATGTGGTCCAGCACAACAAAAATCACATCTCATCACATCCAATCTGAATGCAGCTCTCTGTTGCAAAATCAGAGTCCTCATCTGGGATATCTGAGGGGAATCAGTTGCAGTCAATTTGGCAAAGGAAAAGCAGAGTTTCCAGGGACTGTGTGGTGTTTTCCCACCTGTTATTGCTGTATTTTAACTGCAAGGCCATGCTCAGTCCCCTGGCAGTGCCAATGCAATGCAGATGGGTTCTGCATGGAGGACTGTGCATCTGCTGAAGCCATCAGAGCATGCAGCAAGAGGACGAGGCGTGTGTGTGCCACAGGGACAGTGCCAAGCTTGCCTAAATCTCCCCTTAGCAATTTTTGGAAGGATTGGTTGAAGCAGGGCGAGTGAGCAGAATTTAGCTGCAGTGGGTTTGAAATTAGGAACTGACTTAATGGTCCAGTGCAACTTTTTTTGCCTCAAGCTTTCTAAAGGCTAATTCCTGTTGTGGGTTGTGGCAAGAGCTTGGAGAGTGACAAGGTGCAGACAGCTTGTGATAGAACAGTCTGACTGGATTGAATAATCCTTTATATCAGCTAAGATTTCTGAGTTCCAGCACTTGTATTTCCCAGGCCTGTGATTCTCCCACTATTCTCCCTGACTGCACCACCCCTGATGTAAGGTTGTCTTCTCTTGGTATGCAGAGCAGAAGTGATCTCAGGGAGGTCTCTGGGAAAAGTGGTGCAAGGAACAAGTAAGAACAAGATTGGCACAAGGAACAGCTGTGGGAGGTAATCACCCTGCGGGTTTTGTGGGAAGGGACTGTCTGCACATACAGGAAAATGAGCAGGTGTCTGGGCTGTTTCTTGTTGGGAAGGATGAAAATTTGACAAGAAAGTCTCACAGATTTGTCTGCTTGGCAGAAAGATTTTTGAATGTAGAATCTGAAGAAGGAATAGAAATGAAAGTAAGTTTTGATGTAGAAGAATAATAGATGTATAAATTGACAATTTCTGAGCCAGTCTTGCTGGACAGCTAAGAAGGCAAAGGGTATGTTAGATAGAAGGGATTTTTATGGCTTAGGGCAAAGAATAAACCCACCTCAAACAAGAAGATGTTTTTACCAACTAGAAAGATACCACAGGCAAACAAGACTGCTGATGTTGCAAGTAGAGAAAAGGTCTCAGAATTTTCCACTGCAAGAAAACTGAAAAACAACTTCTAACTTAAACTGTAACATACTAACTTTTAGTGATTGGAGACTAGTAACATGAATATGGTGATTACAGGAGTTATGACAGGCTATAGATAAAAGTAAAGGTATAGATTGGTTCTTCTATATTAAGATGCTCAGCAAAGAAAAGTATATAATGCATTGTAACCAAAATTAAAGGGTCTCCAGGCTTGTCTGCAGCTGAAGCTGACAGTTGTAGGTGCAGGCTCTGTCACCCACGACCCTGGACTGTTGTAACATCTTGGATACAATAAACTGCATTTTGAAGAGCTGCCTTGAGTCCTGCATCTCTCATTCAGGCTCTTACTGTTTCTCTGGGCGCAGAAGCTGCCAGTGCTGGTAGAACAACATCAACCCTCTAAGAACAGGATGAAAGAGTGAGCAAAAGGTTCCTTTGTGGCTGCTTCTGTAGGAAAATGAGCAGGTTAAGACTGCAGCACACTTTGCAAAAGCTAAATGCTGCCGTGGCTGTGATTGCGTAGATTGAAACTATTTCTTTGCCTTCTGTTTATTTTGCCTGACAAGTGTTAGGCAATTACTGGAAATGAGGAAGAAAAGCCTTCTCTCTCTTAAAAACACATCAAATTGCATTCTTACAGATATGGAAGAAAGTAATTTTTCTTAGAAGCTTATCTTGCCCTGAATGGAAAGAAACGCCTTGCAACCCAGGAAACACAACGTTCTCCCAGCTCAGCCTCTCATTTTCTCTGCCCCTCTCCAGATTGAAAAGGAGCTGCTGCAAACTCCCCCTGCTTTTGTACACTGTACATAACTAAACTCTGGCTTGTGTCAAAGGCCAGTTGTTTGCTATCACCATACAGAGATGAAAAACCTCTTCTAGACCCTTGTCACCTCCTAGTTATTGCTTAGCACCTGTACCTACACCAGATGTAGCTGCTACATCCAGATGTTTGGCTTTGTGGGGCACGTTGATTAATTGAATTTCATTTTAACTCTTCTTTTAGGATTGTCTGCACAGCCACCAGTGATGTGCACACTCAGCAGAAATTCTCCCTGATCTCTGAAATCAGTGCTGCCAGGCAGGGGGAGGCCACTCTGCTGGTTGCCATAGTAATGAGCCACCCTGCAAAAAACCCACGTCTTTTGTCTGCCTGGTGGAAAACAGTTCACCCACCAGAAATCTGAGTCAGGGGGGCATTACACTGCAGCATTTCAAACCTCTGTTGCTGAGCCCTCCCTGGGCTCATCAGCTGAAGGGATGGGAACACTCCAGGCTCAATTCAGGCAAGGGAATTCTTGAAGGAGCACAGGTGCCTAATGCCATGCAAACTGGGGCCTTTGGAGCCATTTCTTCTCACTTGGGTAACTACACGAGTTGAGGAGCACTAAATTCCAGGCTTCTCATCTGTATTCATACGTCAGATGGGCTTTTTTTTTTCCCTTGAAAGGCAAAGGGAAAGAATGGAAACATAGAAATAGAACAAGGCAGTTTCTCTGCTGGTGTCTCTTTGAGCTGCTCCAGAAGAAACAGTTCTCTGACACCAATTAACACCAGCAGGGGATCTGCTGATTTTAGGTGGAACATCAAATCTCTTTGAGATAGAAATAACTCTTTTATGCCTACCTCAGTTCTCAACACTGTCAAATTCTGGGCCTGGACTCCTGCCAGGTCTTTTCAGAAATAATTAAATGATTGTTCTTACCTCCAAGCTAGAAAGGTTTTCAACTGAAAAAAAAAAAAAAAAGTCTACCTGGCATTTGTTACAATTTTATTCTTCATTTTCATTAACAACTCATTCCTGGTCTAGCCTGGCAAATATGCTTACAATTGTACAGTCCATTGAATTGTTTTCACTTAGCATTTTTTTTCTTTGCCTCCAACAGGACTGAATATGGACTACAGTGGAGGGAAATTTACTTGAAGGCAAGCCAAGGAGGAGCAGAGGAATATGGCAAGCATGGTGATGGAGAAACTCACTGGAGCAGGGAATGCCAAGAAGAAGGTAAGGAAGCAGCCGATTTATGACCACCTGGTGAGAAGAGAGATGGAAGATGGTCTGGGAAGCTTTTGGAGGAGTGTCCTGTGGATTATAAATGAAGTAGAGGGATGCAGGGGAAGTAGGTACAAAGCAAAGGCAACAGAAGCCACCCGGGGCTTTTTGGAGTAAAACTCTGCCACATCTTTGCAGCTCAAACTTTTTTCCTCCAGGGTGAAAAGTAAATTCCTCAATGCTGCCATACTTGAGGAACTCCTTTTGCTTCTGCCAAATTAACTATATCAAAAGCAAAACAGTCAAGATAAGAAGAGAATTTCCCTATTGGTATTTGGAAATAAAAGATTCATTGCAAACATTGTTCCTTTTTAATAAAAAAATGTGAAAAAATGATTGGGAAAAATAAATCATCAGTTGCCCATTTCTTCAGTGTTTCACTAAACTTAGAGAAACATTTTGGTATTTGTTGGAAATATTAAGAATATTGTGAATAAAGAGGGGTATGAATGCACTTCTAAATTTCAAGTGCCAGCAATACCAGAGTAAGTAAGTATTATGTCATTATTTGTTATTTGTTTCCACTCTGGAAATCCCTCTCAAACCTGAGACTGGGCCTGAAAGCAAAACTTCAGGGATGGCAAATTTATGCAGTGAGTGAGACCAGGGAGAAAATGAGAATGGTTCAATTAGAATTAGTTAAACATTCTGAAGCAATTTTCAACACCCACATAAGCACACCAAGGGTGAAATTAAAGAGGAAGAAATCCTGCAGATCTGTCTTGTGTGTGATAGGAAGTTTTGAGAGACATCACTAAGACACTGAATACAGGCCTTTTCAGACAAAATGTATTTAATATGTGACACAAGCAAGGGAAACACTGAATTCAGACTGGAGAGGACCTCTGGGGGACCCTGGTCTGTTCCCTGTGCTCAGAGCAAGGCCAGGAGGAGCAGGTTGCTCATGGTTAAATCTGTTCAGGTTTTTAATATTTCCTTGTCTGAATGAAAAAACAGTCTAACAGAAGAAGAAAATGAGATACAAACAAGATTCTGGTCCTGTGGTGTGAAGCAGTTGGCACTGAGGACTTCAAGTCCTTGACAGAATGATGTCCCCATGTTGTGGTTTGATATGGAAAAAGAATTTTTTTAGAAGGAAGAGGTCAATTTAAATATTGATTAATTAAAGGTAGATATGCCTCTGAGAACACAGAGGAGTTAAAAGTAAAATTTTTAGGAAAATTTGCTGTCTTTAGTTTTAGTTAGCGCGCAGTGCAGCTTCTTTCTTGCTCGGTGACGAGCTGGGTTGGGGAGGGGAAGGCTTATGGCTTGACTGAGGTAGGCCGAAGGGTAGAGGGGACTGGAACTTTTTGTAAATAGAAGGCTGGAGAAAATTTGGGATGTTTCTGTTTTTCTCTCAAGAGTTTCTTGGCAGCGGTGGCTTGTTAGTAATTTCACCGCGGGGAAGGAGAAGAGCGAGTGAGGGGGCTGCAAGGTGCCCAGCCACTGCCGTGGGGGCTGGAGCCTGGGCAGAGAGCCAGCCAGGGAGTCGGGACTTTTAACCCTTAAAAAATGAAAGCTTTATAAATTTTTTTCCCCTCCTCAGTTTGAAAAGAGAGGAAGAAGGACACCTTAGACCCTGGGATGTTAGAAAGAGAAATTTTAGATGAGAGGGGGACAAGGAGTAGCTTTTAGCTAGACTTTTTCCTTAATAGCCACCGACTGAATCAATCTTCTCCTCCAAGAGAGATTGTATTTTAGGAGGATGACAATGAGCCAAGAGACCTGCTTCAGCTGGGAAAAAACAGAAGTAGAGCAAACAGAAGAAATATTTAAGGGGTTTATAGTGGTGCCCCTGTCCTCAAAGAAGGAAAAGAGAAGATCTCTGTTCTTAGATCCCTGGCCCCAGAAAAAAAAAAAATGGGGGGGACTGTAGTCCCAAAAAATGAAAAACTGAACTGTTGTTTTCTCCCCTCTTGGCAAGACATCCTTAAAAGGAAAAATCCTAAAAGCAGTCTGTCCATCCATGCATTGGTGGTGAGAGCACTGTGCATGGAAAGGAGAAGGGTCACCATTGCAAACTTTTTCTCTGGGCGGTGTCATGTGTGACATGGAAACACAGGATGTTCCAGCTGTGTTTCTTAGGGGGTCTGGCACAGGAGAGACTCTGCCTCCCTCGATGGACTGAGTATTGATTGTCTGGAGGGTGAAAACCTGATTGGGGTCCAGACTGTGTCTCACTGTAGTTTATTAGAGTTAGGTGGTGGGAGGAAGAATGCTTTACAAAGTTTTCATTTTAATCTTTGTGTGTTTCTTTTTCCTTCCTTTCTTTCTTTTATAGTAGTAGTTTAATAAAGTTTTTTTTTCTCTCTATTATTAAGCTTAGGCCTACTTTGCTCTGCTCTAAATTGAATTTCACAGCATTCATTTAAGAAATTACATTTTAATGGGGGCACTGGCATTGTACCAGTGTCAAAACATGACACCCCATGAGTTCTTCTGGAGCTCATCTTCTGTCCAGGTTTGTATGAAAAGCAGCTCTCTTGCAGGCTCCAAATGTGCCCTAAAGCTCAGTGAGAGGGGCAGTAGGGGGATTTTATCAGATGTGGAGTCCTGCCTTGCATTATAATCCCTGTGTGCATGTTAAAAATCAGCTCAGGAAGTGTTCAAGGCAGGATGGATGGGGTCCTCAGCAACCTGACCTAGTGAGTGCCATCCCTCCCCACAGATCTTTAAAGTTCTTTCCAACCCAAACAATTCCAGGATTCTGTGATTCTTTGATCACATATTTTATAATTGAGCAAATTCCTGAGTGCTTTTTAGGGATGGGCTCATAAAATCTGATCTGGGGTTCTCCCAAGCCTCTTCCTCTCTATACTTACATTGCTCCCACAGGGACTGTGACAAGAAGACAAGGACATTCCACTAATGCTTCAAAATAAACACATAAAGGAGTGAGAAGGTAGAAGTGGGACTCCCAAGATAGCTCACTGTTTTGTTTCTTTTGAATCTAATTAGGCTGAATTTTTACCATCCTCAGCATCCTTTTCAGAGGGAAAAAAATCTCTGTTGCAGCAGAGTCTGGAGGGGGTCTGGCTTAATCCCATCTTCAGCAGCACAGAGACACTTTGGCATCTCAGCTGATGAAAGGCATGAAACCTATTTATCCACCTAGTTTCCTACAGAAACAAGAGGACTGTGATTTTTTTTCTTTTAATCAGTACCTGTCTCCCTTACTCTTCCCTCCATCCCTTTTTGCTGTTTTTGATAGTTTCCACCAGTAGCTGAGACATTGCAAAGATTATAAATTCATACTGGGTTTCCTTCCTCCTCAAAGAGGTGGCCACATAGGGGAGGCATTGCCAGAATGTTCATGTTTCATGTGAGTGAAACAACAGAAATGTGAATTTAAACCTTATTAGACAACATAAAATCCTCAGATGAGAGATTAAACCTGTTAACAAGGTGATCAGACTCCCACATAAGTGTCATTAAGGTTTTTTTTTACCTCTCTTTACACTGCCTCATTTAGCTGAGAAGAGGAAAGTCAGGGATCTCAGTACTTTGGGATCAGCCTCAATAACTGGATTTTCCTGTGCATTGCTCACTAGGTGGAATGGCAAAGCACCAAAAAACAGCACACATAAATAACATTTGGAAATTAATCTTTCCATTTCCTGCAAGTGATAAGAAAATTTACCCTGTGTGCAAGTAATTTGCAGTCATTTATGGCAATCTGTAATATTTAAATACTAAGTAAATTAATTATTTGGCATTATTTTTAGTTAGCTGATTTACTGTAATCACAATGACTAAATAAATCAATTACTTAAAAAAAAAGCGCCCCCAGACAAATATGGCAAATCAATTACTTAATATTTAATGGGAATTACTCGCTGTTACAGAAAACAACAGAGGAACAAATCCTTTAATGACATAAGAAAAATTCAATCACTGTCTGGAGAAAGAGGTTTCTATACAATATTACCTTTACATAACTCATGAGATAATGCAATGAAATAGTGGGAATGCATGGGAATAGTGAGTTCAGGTGAACTACCAGGCACCAGGAAGAAAACAGCTGGGACCTGGTTTTCTGCACCATCCCAGCAGGAGGAAACAGCTCACCAGGATAGGTGATAGGAAAGTTGTGAAAACAGATGGTGGGTGCCTGGAAAATACCACCTGTGCTGGAAAAAACTCTGTTGTTTGGACGCTTTAGAGAAGGGTTGGATCATTGTTGTGGCTGTGGGAGGAGGCTACTCTCAGCCCACACCTTGGACCAGGTGGAACAAACCTGTCTCCTGTCTGCTCACCTCAGGAGGGTCTTTAGGAGATGCTTCAACAAATTCCAGTGGGGACAGTGGGAGTCTGTCACAGCTTTTGGACAAGGAAACTTGGGACGAGCAGATTAGGACTGATCAGCCTGGAAATACAGTGAGGGAGAAAACTTAGGAGTTCAGAGAGGGCTGGAGAAGAGAGGCTCACATAAATGCACAAGGTGAACTATGGCAAGGATACACCAGGAGAAAACAGCTGGAGATGGGGCGGTACCTAGGGAATTTAATTATCTTCCAGAGCTCAAGTGGAGTCTGATGAGGTTTAAATTGGACAGCAGCTTCAGTGTTAGTCAACAAAAGCTAGGGAGGAAGATGAATGGTGCAGTGCAGGGTTGGGAACAACCCTCAATAGGGAACTGGGGTTAAAGCCCACCAGAACTCGGTCAAATTATTATTCCTTGTCTCTTGACCGCTCTTCTAATCCAACATTATGGTAAGGGTGTATATAAATCAGTGCATCTTAAAATATGGCTGGTTATGTCACAAGCCGATTTGGCAGCAGCTTGTCCCATCACTAGTGGTGGCTTTTAGCTTTAAGCTCAGGCAGGGAGCCCTTGGAGCTTTTCCTGTTCCTGAAAACCACAGCTGATGGTGAGTTCTGATGCCGATGGAAGGAGTTCATCTCCCTCTCACCTGCTGAATGCCTTTGGAAAGCCTCATTACCATGCAAATGGAGATTGCACACAGGCTAAGAAAAATGCATCTGTCAGGCTGCACATATTGGTAACAGCAAATGCGAGCATAACTGGGATTTATAGAGCAAAGGGATTTCACCTGGGGCTGCTTAGATTTGTCCTGCCACTGGAAACAATAAGGGTTAATTGTGCTGCAGTAATTCTGACATCTTTCTGATGAGCAATCCATCTCTAATTGGACCCAAAAAAAACCTGCCACAGTGCTGGGAAACTTTTGACCTCGAAATGGGTAGAGGAGAATTTTGACAAAGAAATTGCAAAACTGACAAATGGGAAGGAGCAATGAATGCAGCTGTGAAAGGGGGAAATGATGATCTAACTCAGCCATCATTTTGCAATGGATCAAATGATCCTCTGACTTACATTGGAGTGAGCCTGTGATGGTGCAGGCACTGAGATTAAAGACTGGAACGATGTTACTGCTCTAACCTACTGTGGGAAAGCAACTGGATGGAGATGCCAGGACACTCCTGACA